TCTCATCCTCACACCTCATCCTCACATCTCATCCTCACACCTCATCCTCACACCTCATCCTCACACCTCATCCTTTCACCTCACCCTCACACCTCATCCTCACACCTCATCCGTACATCTCATCCTCACACCTCATCCGTACATCTCATCCTCACTCCTCATCCTCACATCTCATCCTCACACCTCATCCTCACACCTCACCCTCACACCTCATCCTTACACTTCATCCTTACACCTCATCCCTACATCTCATCCTCACACCTCATCCTCACACCTCATCCTCACACTTCACCCTCACACCTCATCCTTTCACCTCACCCTCACACCTCATCCTTACACTTCATCCTCACACCTCATCCTCACACGTCATCCTCACACCTCACCTCACCCTCCTCCTCCAATTTCCTCTACTGCTCGATAGAAGAATAAAAAACTAAAATCGAATATCATGGATAAATTATAATCATAAATGACTATGAACTTATCATATAAAATACGTTGTGTTTGTGGGATTTTCTTCCTGGTTGTCTGTGTGTTTCTCTCCCTTGTATAGACTAAAACACTCGTTCTTTTCTGTTACTTATCTCACGTTTGGTGGCTCCCACAAGTGACCGTGACATAATCTTCTTATGGGATCAGGCCAGAGGATCAGATCTCATGTGGCAAATGGATTGAGTGCCTCCCCCCCCTCCCCTCCCTCCCCTCCTGCCATCATCAGTAAAAGATACAACTCGTGGAATTCTTCCCCAAATCTTCTATTTTCAAAAACTACAACGACTCTTCGCACATTATATTTAAATTACGGATACATTGAATAATTATTAGTACAGAAAGTTAGATATAGAGGAATATTAATTATTCTACGTGTAAAACCGAATATCATTGTTTGTTAACCTCTCATATAGAAAGATTTAACTACAGAAATATTAATATTAGGAAATATTTAATCCCTCCCCCCCCCCTTGCTTCCCTTCCCCAACACACCAAATTATGTATGTGTTTGTCTTTCCAACTCGAATAAATCATTTGTCTTCAATTTCCCTGGGACGCACCTTGACACGCGACGTTAGGTATCTTATAAACACCTGGAGACATCTTATATAAATCTCCCTTTATATTACGTCTTTATAATTCTCTAAATATTAAGGAATATAAGATAAAATATTTATAGAAAATAATCGTCAATATAAACTGGAATGATATCTGTAGTTCATGTTTCCACCATCAGGTTCTCTCACCATTAGTCTCTCTGACGCACACTGTCAATATCTCGAGGCTAAACAAAACATCTCACCGACGGCCGGTAAACAGAAGGTAATTTAGAGATTAAAGGTAATGATGCACTGGATGGCTGAGGATAAACAAGAATTAAACGAGAGATAGTTGGAGAGACACAGATAAACACACAGACACGAGGAAGAATAGATAGATAGATAGATAGACTGAGAGAGGTAAATAGAGAAAGGGAGATAATATAAGTGAGATAGAGAGTGTGTGTGTGTGTGTAAGAGAGCAATAGCTCGCTCGAGAGATATACCAACAAAATAATTTATTTAGAGAGAGAGACGATACACACACACACACACACGCGCGCGCGCGCTTCCCCAAACAAACAAACAAGAAGAAACGACCTCGTGTGTGTGTGTGTGTGTGTGTGTGTGTGTAATAATAACAATAATAATAATAATAATAACAATAATTAGCAGTTTATTGAAAGGTCATGGCAGCTGTAAGGCTGAAATTATACAGTTACATAATAGGGGAATGGGTCACTTGATTGACAAATAATATACAAGTTACATAAGTGATACAAATATGATATATAATAACTAGGTGGGGAGAAAGCCATACTACAGGGCATTTCAACATTGTGACATACACTGGATGATTATTAGTTGTTGATAATTTTTACAATGGTTGGGAATGGGCTGTTCTTATAGCGATCAGTATGTGCTGGTATCAGCTGGATGCGGTTGTGGTGTCGAACAATAATTCGTGGACGAGGAATCTCGGGTGGAAGTAGGAGCCGGTGTCGAGGATGGCGCAGAAGCTTCTCACCAAATTTGCAGATGAGGTCGTGGTGATGGTCAGAGAGAGCTGAGAGGGTCAGTGTACTGAACGCTGTGATATTAATAATGGAATGAGGGGGGATAATTTTGCATGCCCTCCTCTGTTACTTTTTCTAATTGTTTCCATTATTGTGTGTGTGTGTGTGTATGTGTGTGTGTGTGTGTGTGTGTGTGTGTGTGTGTGTGTGTGTGTGTGTGTGTGTGTAATAAATAATAATAATAATAAACGGTTTATTAATAGAGTTGCAGCCGGTGGCTGAAAATATACAGACTTACATTTGATCTAGACATAATGATATAATATGCGTTGAATACATTTACAGGTCTGCACAGTACATAAATCAGTTGTTTATTATTTTAACAATAGTTGGGATGGTGCTATTCTTATAGGTATCGGTGAGGGCTCTTATGGGCTGAATTTTGTTGTAATGGCGGACTGCACGAGGTGGGTGGGGGGCTGCCGGTGGCAGGAGGTGGCGATAACGAGGGTGGTGCATTAGTTGGCTGCCAAACCTTTCCAGTGCTTGGTGGTGGAGGTCACTGAGGGATAACATTTCCAGGGTGGAGAGAGCGTTGATGTAGCCGGAGTATTCTGTGCCGAGCATGATCCTGCAGGCCCTTTTCTGTACCTTCTCTAGCCGACGTTGTTGGGTGGAGTGGAGAGAAGACGACCAGGCTGGTGACGCATACGTTAGTTTGGGGAGAATAAAGGCGTTGTAGATAGGCCTCAGCTCTGGCGTGGGTGTCCCAAGTGACCTAAGTCGTCGTAGCATGTAGAGACGGTACGAGGCTGCCTTGACTGTGTTATTTACATGGGCCTTCCAGTCCAGTTTGTTGTCTATAGTTACACCCAGGAGTTTGGCAGACTGCACCAGCTGGAGAGGATGGGCACCCACTGTGACTGCTGGGGCTTGCATTGAAGTGGTAGCGGTATTGATGTGCATGAGTACGGTTTTGGTGTGGTTGATGGTGACCTTGTTCTCCGTAGTCCATGCCTGTAGCCTGTCCAGGGTGCCTTGTAGCCATGAGTAGTCTGGTTCGGTGTTGTCCACTGAAACCCCCACAGTGCAGTCATCCACGTAATTCCACCTGTGAGGAGTGTCCGATAGAGCATCGTTGATCAGGATGAGGAAGCACAGTGGTCCCATCTTGGTCCCCTGGGGAACACCGCAGGTGAGGTGTTGGAATGTGGAGACCGAACCCTGATACCTCACTGCCTGGCGACGTCCACTCAAGAAATCAGTGAGTCATGAGACCAGGTTGGTGGGCAGCCCTAGTGCAATGGCCTTGTTGATAACAGTGCAGTGGTCAACAAGGTCAAAAGCCTTCCTGAAGTCAACAAGGGCAACGGCCAGTGATGTCTTACGTTTCTGCAGGTTTTTTTGCAGAAAATCCAGAAAGCTCACTAAGCAGTGTGATGTAGAGGAGGTCCTCATATTGCCAAATTGCTGTGGATCAATTGACTGATAGATTTTGGCAAATGCCCACTCAAAAACAAAGTCCTCACAGAGTAGATTGGGTATGGGGGTAATGGCAACTGGCCTGAGGTCGTTAGGGGACTGTGGGGTGGTGACCTTGGGGATGGGGGTGACAAATGCGGTTTTCCATTCATTAGGGCATTTGCTTTGTCTGAGGGATGCAAGTTCGACTGCAAACTCCTTGTATATTTTGATTGGGAGGTCAATTGGGGTCGTGGAGCGTTTGGATTTTCAGAAGTTTGTTGGCGTGTGTGTGTGTGTGTGTGTACGACTGCTGTGTAGCTGTATATTTATTCATCTAATTATAATTCTGATGAAGTAAAAAAAATATATATTTCAACACACCTGACCAAGATAATTAGCCCTGAACGTCAACAGATAAAATTTGTTTTCCACTAATTAATATTGTCAATAGGGTAGATTTAATAGTTTTTAATGAGCTGAAGTATTCACAAATATCCTTAATACCAGGAAATATTCTTGTAATACTTCCATTCCTTAAATATATAACAATAGAGATGAAATTATAGAAGAAAAAATATCTCATATGAATACAGAAATGCCGTAGGATATCAGAGTAAAAAGTAAGTCTTATATATATGTCAGGGATCGTGAGGTCGTCTTCTGTGACTCTGACTTGACTCACAGACGGACATCTTAACATACCCTTGACATATTGTATCATTTTAACAGATAAAAAACTACAAAGTGATAACTCCACCTCCTGAAATGTTATAGATATTTAAAGTATAATTTAGGTTAACAAGTTGATGGGTCATACCTATAAGTAAAACAGCTCAGGTAGCTAATTAATATTTTCTCCTGGGGGGGGGGGTGGAATCGAACCAAAGACCTTAAAGTTACGACAACACTCCAGTCACTAAGCCCATGTTATAATAACCCTCCGTTGATATAACTCTCCAGGTACCACATCGTGTCCGGGATACAGGTAAACTAAATTAACCTGTAGATTATTTAACACACCTGTCCGCCATGATGAAGAACTAGGCACAGGGATCAGTGTCTGGAGGATCACAACCATGTTTATAACCTGTCAACGTCGCCCCGGTCACCGCTTCATAAATAAACAAACAAAAGCCTCTGACACACTCACTAATCTTCTCTTTGTTGACATTCAAGTAAAGTTTTTAGTATGGTAAAGAAATAGTGAGTTTTTCCGCGTTGTTTATACCCTTGGGTGAAACATTTTATGCCACTGGATGTGTTTTTCTTATCTTTTATGTTTATTTTATTTACCTTTGTAGTCCATTTGTGAGACCATGCAGGCTTCATGTCGTATCTTCATAAATTCATAGTTTTCTGCCTCTCTCTCTCTCTCTCTCTCTCTCTCTCTCTCTCTCTCTCTCTCTCTCTCTCTCTCTCTCTCTCTCTCTCTCATCTTTAGCCAGATCTGTACACTGGGGGCTCCTACCTATACACTGTGGAGTCTTACCTGTACACTGGGGCTTCATCAGCACCGATGTACCAGAGGGTGAGGACAGGTGAGTCGTGGGGAGGAGAGTGGATGGTGCAGGGGAGGGAAGCATTGTACCCAGCCACCACCTCCACTACTGATGTGTCTGCCTCCGTCTCTGTCGGGGGAGGAACGTGGGTGTGAGTATATGGAAGGTAATAATAATAATGATAATAATAATAATAATAATAATAATAATAATAATAATAATAATAATAATAATAATAATAATAATAATAATAATAATAATAATAATAATAATAATAATAATAATAATAATAATAATAATAATTCTAGTTATAAAACAATATAAATAAACTTTACTTATACATGCATATGAATGTATCTAATTATACCTGTATATATTCGTACATGTATATATTTCAACAAGTATTATCTGGGATGAAGTTTAAACATTAATGTTACACCTGACTTCAAAATTAAGGTAATTATCATCTAGGTTTAATGTCAGGTGGAAGTTGGCTTCTGTTCTCTCTCTCTCTCTCTCTCTCTCTCTCTCTCTCTCTCTCTCTCTCTCTCTCTCTAATTAACATATTTTAACACCAACAAGGAAGTAAATTAATGAACAATAGAAATTATAACTTTTTAAATCAATTTGTGGAGGAACCTTTACTCACTGACTTAACCATACTAACCAAACCTAACCTAACCATACTAACCTAACCTAACCTAACCATACTAACCAAACCTAACCTAACCATACTAACCTAACCTAACCTAACCATACTAACCTAACCTAATATACGTACAATCTAACCACACTTAATCCATCCTAACTCTAGCCTACCTAAGATCACAATGACCTCTCCTAAACAAGGTCAATAAGAAACAACACAAGGTCAATAACAAACAAAACAAGGTCAATAAGAAACAACACAAGGTCAATAAGAAACAACACAAGGTCAATAAGAAACAAAACAAGGTCAATAAGAAACAAAACAAGGTCAATAAGAAACAAAACAAGGTCAATAAGAAACAAAACAAGGTCAATAAGGAACAACACAAGGTCTTTCCCCCAAAACACGTAGAATATCCGAAAGGCATCACAAGTCACCAGAAAGATTTTATCCGGAAGACAAACCCAAAGGAAAAACTATGAACCCTCCACTAATTAAACCTTAAGCGGCAGATCATCTCTAATAGGCCAAGTTTGCCAATTAAGTCGTAATCAGCCCGGGAGGATCTCGGAGATAATAACAATTTTCTGATAGTTCCCTGGTTACATACATACATACATACATACATACACACACACACACACACACACACACACACACACACACACACACACACACACCAGGTGAGTTGTTGGTGCGTGTGTGGTGTTGACACTGGCAGGTCTCCATATTTTATTTTTATTTTTATTAAACTACCAACTTCAAAGAACTTCCCAAACGATGGTAGTTAAATTGAGGTCATTGTCGGCTTAGGTGGCTGAGCAGACTAACAAAGGGACGTTATACAACATACAGGGTGACAAACACACAACACTGAGGGCGACATACACAAATACACACAACATACACAGCGACATACACACACTTTATACGAGTGACAATCTTCATTTCAAGGGCGAAATACCATAAAAAAATATTTATTATACGAACGATATCTATGTGTATTAGCCAATGTCTTATAGGCAGAAGTATTTATATAAATGGGTTAAATACATTAGACTTGTATAACTATCATCCCCTGTAACTTTCCACTAGAGGTCGCATGCTCAGAGCACGTGATAAGGTGTGCCCACGGGAAGTCATGTCTTAGTGCTGAGTTAAGCATTACTGTAAGTAACCGGATCTCTGGCCACCTATTGCGGACAGTAATTTGATAACCCTGACTAGAGGAAGACGTTATTTAGAGCCATCGTGGATGGTTCCGTTCTTCCCTCTACGGGTTCCTACTCCTCCTCACTCACCGCTCAACGACAGGACGTACTTAGTACAGCTATTTAACGCAGCCTCCGTCCTCATTTAACACTCATAGCTACAGTGATTAAGTTACGGTGATAATCACTTTTGAAAGTGCACATAGAAACCTTTTATAATATATACAAACAAAGGAACATATTGGATTTCACTACAGAAGATCCAATAAACTTTTATCTATATATTAGTACGTCTAGAATATAAGGTAACAAGCTTCACAAGTGATTGTTACAAGTGGTGACAACCCAGGAAGGTTGTTACATACAGTATATGACAGTTTCACAAGTAACTGTTATATTCACTGTAACAGTCACCTCAACAGATACACAGTTGGTGAAGGTAGAGATATTATATTCTCCCCATTACTGTGGCATCTGTTACTAAGAAGCAAATCGTTATATATGTAAATGACGAATTCAACGTCGAAGATAAAAGATGAAGGAACAAAATCAATTAAATATGAAATATTGAAAAAACGAAGAAATATAGCCAAAATAATAGCCAAGATTTTAGCCAATATTATTGCCAAGATTATAACCAAGATTATAGCCAAGCATATTACCAATATTATAGCCAACATTAAAACCAAGATTATAGTCCAAACTATAAACCAAGGACCGTGCCTCAACCTCAGCGAAGATAAGGAGGTATCTAGTGATTTTCTTCCTCTGTTTGACTTATTTCCTATCATTGAGCATTTAATAGGGCACCACCACACCATCTTCTCTCAGCCTGGACGAAGGAGAGTCTAAAAAGTTGTTGGGTGCCATGAAGAAGGTCCTGAGCTGGTGAAATCCTTAATATGGGTCCTTGAGATGACGTGATGGATGAAATGAAGGATTTGTGTGGAGGCTACCTTTGTCAGCTGGTCCACTGGGGGGGAAGTGTCTCCCAGGTGGTGTAGGAGGAGGGAGGAGGAGGAGGAGGAGGAGGAGGATTGAATCAAAACCAGGTGGAATTGAATTGGAAACAGTTTATTTAGCCAGAAAAACACAGATACAGAGTGGATAATAATAACAATATTAACATGGCTGAGCCAGTTGAGAACCTGAGCTCTCTTTTAGGCACCTGATATATACTATACATTTATCTCAAGGATGTATTATGTAACATTTAGTATCATCTGGAATAGTACAATAGAATGGTGGTAATAAGAACATCTCATAATGTTACCACAGTTATACTTAAATATTTATTAATTTTATTTCTTATTATTTGTTTGTTTATTTTATTTTCTATTTTTTTTATATATACATAAATTACAGTGGAATTAAAAAGCATAAGTATAATGGGGGAGCAGTACAACCTGGGTTGTGCAGTCATAAGGTTGAACAAGAGGACAGAGCTGTCAGGATTATGTCTAGTTGGCAATTATGTTTATTGCAATGGTAATTACTTATCTATTTACATGATAATTTCCGATAAAACGGTTTTGATGGTATAATAAAAGCAGGTACTGTAAATATAGTAGGAGGAGCTCTTGAGGGGTCATGTGGCTCCCCAGGTGGTAATAGTATAGCTCCTCTTGTCTTCCCTCTGGTGAATCTCATTAGCCTTCTCGGGTTACCTCAACTAATGGCACTCGAATGAAATAATGAAAGTATATAAATATTTACGTATAAATCACAGGAGGAATGAAGCATACGAATGAATAAAGAAACAGAAAGATAAAGAAAGAAAGAACAATACGTCGATCATGACAAACGAACAAAATAAATGAATAAGTAACAACATTTATTTTACATTTAATGCCTGAACTCTGAAGCTTTTTAATTTGTTTAATGTTAAAATTTCCTGAATAAATATCATTGTAGATAAAAAATATCTTACATATACGAACAGTAACACACACACACACACACACACACACACACACACACACACACACACACACACACACACACCACCTGTTGAACACTCCAGTACAGTAAGACACATCCCGACAAATCAACCCATTAAATACACTGGTAAACCTTCTCTTAAGTAAGATAAAACATACATATAAAACTTACACATTTTCTCTACGTTTTGTGTAAGTCATTTTAGTTAAGAATTACCAATAAGAAACACCGAAAAACAATATCTTCTTTGCTCACGATATTTCGGAGGTTTGTAACTGGGAAAAGGTGATGAGTTTACACAGTCTGAACAGTCTACATAGGTGACACAGTTCGTATAGCTTACACAGTTTATACAGTTTATATAGTTATCTAGTTTTCATGATGCTGGCCATGACTGTTAAATTGGCCATGACTGCTAGACTGACCATGACTGTTAAATTGGCCATGACTGTTGGACTGGCCATGACTGTTAAATTGGCCATGACTGCTAGACTGACCATGACTGTTAAATTGGCCATGACTGTTAGACTGGCCATGACTGTTAAATTGGCCATGACTGTTAAACTGGCCTTGACTGTTAGATTGGCCATGACTATTAGACTGGCTGTGACTGTTAGACCGACCATCTCACCTTCTCTAAATTACAATCACACTAGACTTTTAGTTTCGTCATTAATCATTATCATTCAAGGCTAAAATTTACTAAAAATTAACGTTAAATATAAAGTCTGTTATCAACTCAGGTTAAACTAACAAGTTTTTCAGTAGAAATTTGAGTTATCCTTTGGTCAGTGATGCAGGAAATTGTATAATGATAATTCTTGGATATTGGCAATTATAAGGCTCTTGTCTTCTGTTTAGTGAAAGTAGCTGAGTACACGAGCAGCCAATCTGATTTTTTGTAATATGCGATTACCTGGCGTATTTACCTGGTGTGTTTACCTGGCGTATTTACCTGGTGTGTTTACCTAGTGTGTTTACCTGGCGTATTTACCTGGTGTGTTTACGTGAAGTACTGGGATATTGTGGGTGTGTGGGGGGTGTGGATGGATTGGTAGGTCAATGGATGGATAGACGTTTGTGTGTGTGTATGTCTGTCTGTACCGTGATGGGATGAGAGCACACGAGGCATCATAATATTGATAAGACTCGTGGACTTGGCTTGATAAATCTCTCACGTCATCCTAACACTTAATATGCATAGTATAATCAGTGGTGGCAGGTGAGACTATCTTCTCTCTCTCTCTCTCTCTCTCTCTCTCTCTCTCTCTCTCTCTCTCATACATCAACAGCAGCATCACCCTCAGCTGACTCATGGTATAACACTGTCTTCCTCCCACATGTTGTTGCCACGGCAATATAGATCTTATTAGCATGTGTTTTGTTGGCCAGTTTCCGCCTTACCTGACCTGACTGCTGTATGTTTTATCGTCTGATGGAGGTGTTGCTATTGAGGGAAGGGCCATCATAAGTCAGGTTCATGGCCATCATCTCTCTGGCTCATGGCCATCATCTCTCAGGATCATGGCCATCATCTCTCTGGTTCATGACCATCATCTCTCTGGTTCATGGCCATCATATCTCTGGTTCATGACCATCATCTCTCTGGTTCATGGCCATCATCTCTCTGGTTCATGACCATCATCTCTCTGGTTCATGGCCATCATCTCTCAGGATCATGGCCATCATCTCTCTGGTTCATGACCATCATCTCTCTGGTTCATGACCATCATCTCTCTGGTTCATGGCCATCATCTCTCTGGTTCATGTCCCTCATCTTTTAGGTTCATGGCCATCCTCTCTCAGGTTCATGGCCATCATCTCTCTGGTTCATGGCCATCATCTCTCTGGTTCATGGCCATCATATTTCTGGTTCATGACCATCATCTCTCAGGATCATGGCCATCATCTCTCTGGTTCATGGCCATCATATTTCTGGTTCATGACCATCATCTCTCTGGTTCATGGCCATCATCTCTCATGGTTCATGGCCATCATCTCTCTGGTTCATGGTCATCATCTCTCTGGTTCATGACCATCATCTTTTAGGTTCATGGCCATCCTCTCTCAGGTTCATGGCCATCATCTCTCTGTTCATGGCCATCCTCTCTCAGGTTCATGGCCATCATGTCTCTGTTCATGGCCATCATCTCTCTGGTTCATGGCCATCATCTCTCTGTTCAGGCCATTCTTTCTCAGGTTCATGGCCATCATCTCTCAGGTTCATGGCCATCATCTCAGGTTCATGGACATCATCTCTCTGGTTCATGGCCATCATCTCTCAGGTTCATGGCCATCATCTCAGGTCATCTCTCGGTGGCCATCATCTCAGGTTCATGGCCATCATCTCAGGTTCATGGCCATCTCATGGCCATCATCCATCATCTCTCTTCATGGCCATCATCTCTCAGGTTCATGGCCATCATCTCTCAGGTTCATGGCCATCATCTCAGGTTCATGGACATCATCTCAGGCTCATGGCCATCATCTCTCATGTTCATGGCCATCATCTCGGTTCATGGCCATCATCTCTCAGCTTCATGGCCATCATCTCTCAGGTTCTGGCATCATCTCTCAGGTTCATCATCTCAGCCCATCATCTCAGGTTCATGGCCATCATCTCCTCATCTCAGGTTCATGGCCATCATCTCAGGTTCTGGCCATCATCTCAGGTTCATATCATCTCAGGGTTCATGGCCATCATCTCTCAGGTTCATGGCCATCATCTCTCAGGTTCATGGCCATCATCTCTCAGGTTCATGGCCATCATCTCTCAGGTTCATGGCCATCATCTCTCAGGTTCATGGCCATCATCTCAGGTTCATGGCCATCATCTCAGGTTCATGGCCATCATCTCAGGTTCATGGCAATCATCTCAGGTTCATGGCCATCCTCTCTCACCTGGTTAGTTTACGACACATCGTCAACTTCTCGTTAAAATATAAAGAGAATCAATTTTCCGGTTGTTTATCATCGTGGAGGGATGGAGTG